AGAATAATGTGTCTTGCCCCACCGCAGTTCTGACCTGATGTGTCTCTTGTCTTGTGAGGGCAAACAGTAGATTATAACAATGTCCTCCTCCAAGACACGAACCATGTCTAACTGCTTGCACATCATCTTTAATCATGAATGCAGATAGCAGTTTCTGTATGTCCAGTAAGAGATTCTGGATGATTTGTTTCGTGGCTGGGGCTGCCCTATCTGAAACTCAGAGGATACTTGCACATTCCCTTCAGACGAGGACTCTGGGAGTGGATCACCGTACACTAGATTCTGTGATGTATCCGAGGCCCTAGGGCCCTCTATAACAGCCATTTAAGGCTTTAATTGTCGCTGGAGAAGGGCCCCAATATCTCGTCTCAGTAAGTGTACCGGCAGATGGTTTCTGACCCAGTCGACCCATAGCTGAGAATACTTCAGCTGACTTAGAGGAGAACATGATGTTTACTTCTGGTAAACTATTTGGCAATGAGCCGCCAAGCACCTCCTCCAATCCGAGGCCAGAAGGCTGATGATAGGACTCAGGTCTGCGTTTCTGACGCTTCGTCTTGAGGAGTGGGAAAGAACAGCATGAACAGACTCAGTGGAATGTCCAGAGGCGAGTATAAGCTCAGACTCGGCTGAATGGATAGAATGGCCCATGATGGTTATGGATTTGCCTGATTTCTACCGGAGGTGAGGAATATGTTGTCCGCTCAGTCTGAATGGCCTGACCATATCAGCTTTACAGTTAAACTTTTGATAGATTAATTTGAGCGGTCTGTCTCATTTTGGGACATGAACCAGTTTGACTGATGAAATCACCCAACATAGGCCTATTATTTCTAAAAGGAGAAACTCCAGGGTATCTCACATGGTGTATGTTGTGCCTTAATGTGACAACTTTTTCCAACCAGTTTATGTCAAACTTTGTGGCATATTTTTTTGGGGGGCATTTTATTTACACACACATTACATTTTTGCTAGTTATTTTTTAAATATGATAAGTGCCACTGTGATTAAACGCCCCAAATTATGCTCAGCAAACTCTGAAAAATTCTCTGAATATTTGCCTTTGCCATGATCTTGTGAAGTTACAGTGCCATATAAGAAACCTGTCCAATTTGGTTATTACAATTAGGATTTTGATAGATGAATTTGATGAGTATGTCTAATTTGGGGGCATTGTAACAGTTTGGCAGTTAAAAGTACCCCACAAATGCACACCGTTTGTAAAATTGGCACCAGGGTGTAAGTAACATGGTATATTTTGAACCTTATTATTATTCAGCCATTTTAGCACGTATTTAAACAAATGGAGGTTATTTAGTTACTCCAATGGCCATTGGAGGGAATGCCCACCTGCCACGTCAAGGCAAACCTCTTAGGTGGGTCCTACACTAACAATTCACCTTGCTTCCTACATCCCTATATTCTTATTAACCCTTAATGTAGGGGTGTATATAAAAAAAAAAAATACCCCTCTCTCTCTCTCAGAGATATCTTTGCAAGAGGCTCAAGGTAGCAAGGAATGGTTAGTGTAGGACCCACCTAAGAGGTTTACCTTGATGTGGCAGGTGGGCATTCCCTCTAATGGCCATTGGAGTAATTTAATAACCTCCATTTGTTTAAATATACATAGGGATTAGGGAAAGAGCACAGGTAACTTTTTTTTCTTTTATTTCAAATTGTATTGTATTTTATTTATTTATATTTTTGTACACATACACTGCACTTTATATTGTATACTTGATCTATGCTACTATAATAAAAATCACTTGGTTTTGCTTAGCTATATTTCCTGATGACAGAATGACTACTTTGCATACCTTTGTCAGGTTTTTGTGATAATACAGGGCAGAAATTGTATCCGGCCTTGCACCATGGGGACGCTCATAACATTTTGAGATTTATTAAGGTGCCATTTTTTCACTGTTTGTGGTATAAAAATTTTATTTTTCCCTTTTTACATACACCTTGCTTTTTTTTTTTTTTTTTTTTAAATCTTGTGTGATCCATTGAAATAAAAATATTTTAGCTGCACTCCGCAACATTTTGAGTACTACAATACCCCATATGTATATCCTTGGAAAGGAATCGTAATCCCAATCAAATCCTAAACCAAGCTCCAATTCTAAACCAAATCCTAATCCCAAAACCAACCCTAAATCTAATCATAAACCTCACTCCAATACCAACACATACCCCTAACGTATGTCAAAAACTAAATTATATCCTTAATCCTAACCCTAGGAATAATGTTGGAAGGATTCCCTCTACTGGGGTCAGCAGAGGAAATCCCATGCTGAATTGAGCACAGGGATTCCTGTGCGGATGCTAATCCTAATCTGAAACATAATCTGATTACTACAATTATTTCTAAATCAAATATTAAATATAAACTTAATAATAAACATAATACTTATTCTAAACAGAATCAGAATCCTTAAATGGACAATCCACTGCCCACATACAAAATAACTAAAAAGCACTGTTCAGTAGAGATAATCCAAAAGAAAATTTGCATGTATTTAATTATAGAGTTTTGCATTAAGGTACATCTAAAAGCGGCTTGCCAACGTTGCAGTCCTGCCTATGCAAGCCCTCGCCTTTTAACCCCGCCCAGACTTTCTGTGGCTGTCCAATCACAGACTTTCCAACGTAGCTCAATGAGGAGTCTTTGCAAGGCAGGTGCTCTGAGCTATTGCTGTCTCTTGAGTTTAGCTCCACTGAGCTAACAAAATCAGGCAGTAACAGAATCTGTTGTCTGTTTGAAAGCCAAGCGAGTGTTACCAGGTTAATTTATAAAAGTGTAAAATTTTAATGAAATATGCAATTTTTGAAAAATGAAATAAAGAGGATACACTCTTCACACATAAAGCTATTCGGCAAGCAAGTGTTTTAAGGGGTTGGAGTGTCCCTTTAATTGTAATCCTTAGTTTAACCATTTAAGGACTGAGGCAGTTGTACAAGTTCAGATCAAAACAAAATGTAAACAAAACCTTGAATTTGCCCTATTTATTTGTTCAACCGTAATTCACCATTTTCATATTAAATGCACCCACACTTAGAATATATCATTTTGTTCAGGAGAAACAAGGCTTTCGTGTCACATCCAATATTTATGTAACAGACATAATTTAAAATGTATAAAAAAATTTTTTTACAAATGTGAGAAATTAAGAAATTAAATTTTAGTTCTGCTTGGCATTTTAACTATAAATGCCATAATACTGTTAGCTGTTACTGCAATATAATACACATATTTGTATTCAGCGATGTCTCACAAGTAAAACAGTACCCCCATGAACAGGCGTTAGGGTGTTTTGGAAAGTCACAAGGTCAAATATAGCACATTAAATTTTTCAGTTTATACACATTAGAAATTGCCAGACTAGTTATATTGCCTGTGAGACCGTATGGTAGCCTGATGATAACATACATTTGCAAAAGGAGACAACCCAAGGTATTACAAATGGGGTATGTCCAGTCTTTTTTAGAAGCCACTTAGTCACAAGCACTTGCCAAAGTTAGCGTTCATATTTCTGTGTGTGTGAAAATTAAAAAAAACTAATATGTATGCCAATTTTGGCAAGTGTTTGTGACTTCTGTACCTTTTATTAGCTTTATTGTTGCAGGGACTGAGCTACAAAACCCTAGGTATAAGTTGAGACCAAACTATGTTAAGGTTCAGATGGTAGGTTAAGAGGTTAAAGGAATTCTGCCATTTTTCTTTTCTTTAAGGACTTCTCCCACCACCATGGCCACTTTAATGATTAGAAGTGGTCATGGCGGTAAAGGACAGTATGTGCAAAGATTCAGCTTGAAACACTGCAAATACAGAGTTCTTTTTTATTCTGTGCGCACAAGTGACTTGGGCAGCCCAGACATAAATTCTGTCCATATTTTGCGTCTGTTGTCATCATGCACTGACAAAAGACATGCTAATCTTTTGCCTTACAGGAAGCAAGGGGAAAATAGTTTTCCCCTACCACCCTGAGGGTGTTCACTCCACTACTTGTATTGTTTTTTTTTTTTAAATAAATTTCCCCTTGCTGCCTCAGATTAAGAGCATTCGCCAGGAGCTGGTTAAATTGCCTAAAAACATGCTTCTCTATGAGAACCTGTGATTGGACAGCTCGAGGCACATATAGTGTTAGATGAAGGCTGAAAGTCAATGCTGGGAGCATTGACATATATAAATTGAACACAGAACAGGTGAGAAATATAGTTACAGGTGCAGTATGTATTAAGATATGTGAATAGGGATCTGATGGAAACAAATTATTTTACCTATGCAATGCTAGACATACAGAGCTATATATATTTTATGTTACAGGGTGTCGGTCTTGTGTCCTGCTTTCTACTTCTGTATTTCTTATTATGTAGCTAAATTATTACTGTATACATAGTTTGAAAGACCAAATGGTCAGGGGGCCTGATTATAATACAAGATACTCATGCTTGAAAAGGGTTAAACTCGCATTTATTAAACATACAATAGGTTTCTGTTAGGGATCGACCGATATTGATTTTTCAGAGCCGATACCGATACCGATATTCTGTGAACTTTCAGGCCGATAGCCGATATAATTTGCCGATATTCTGTACATTTACCATTTTGGAAAATAAAAACTATTTCTAAAGGTAAATGCACAAAATAGACATGCCACGTGTAGTGGATGCAGTGTGACAGGGGAGCTGTGTGTGTTTGTGTAGTGTGTGTGTTATGGATGCAGTGTGTGTTTGTGTAGTGTGTGTGGAGGATGCAATGTGTGTTTGTGTAGTGGATGCAGTGTGTATTTGTCTAGTGTGTGTAGTGGATGCAGTGTGTATTAGTGTAGTGTGTATATAATGAAAGCAGAGTGTTTGTGTAGTGTGTGGGTAGTGTGCGTAAAGTGAATGCTGTATATACTAAATGCAAAGTGTGTGTGTATATAATGAATGCAGAGTGTGTGTGTGTATTTGTGTGTGTATAGTGAATGTAGTGTGTTTATATAATGCAGAGTGTGTGTTTGTATAGTGTGTGTATATAATGCAATGTGTTTGTGTAGTGTGCACTATATAAACACACTACACAAACACACTGCATTATATACACACACCACACACACACTGCATTATATACACACACTACACAAACACTGCATTATATAAACACACTACACAAACACACACACTGCATTATATACACACACACTTCACAAACACACACTGCACAAACACACTACATAAACACACACCGAATTATATAAACACACTACACAACCACACTGCATTATATACCCACACTACACAAACACACACTGCATTATATACACACACTACACAAACACACACTGCATTATATACCAACACTACACAAACACACACTGCATTATATACACACACTGTACAAACACACACTGCATTATATACACAGTGTGTTTGTGTAGTGTATGTGTATATAATGCAGTGTGTGAGGGGGCATTTTTTATTAAATTATTTAAAAAAAAAATTATATTTACTTTATTATTTATTTTTGTTGTCCCCCCTCCCTGCTTGTTACCTGGCCAGGGAGGGGGGATATGACAGTCCCTGGTGGTCCAGTGGTATTGGCTGAGCGGAGACCAAGCGCTTACTCACCTCCCAGCAGCACCTCCAGCTCCCCAGTGCAACTCTCGCGGCCAGCGTGTCGAGCGGAGCGTTGCCATGGTGATCCATGGCAACGCTCTGACGGCCGCGGGTCTCGCAAGAGTTGCACTGGGGAGCTGGAGGAGCTGCTGGGAGGTGAGTAAGCGCTTGGTCTCCGCCCCCCCAGGACCGCCGGGCTTGTAATGAGCCCGGCGGTCCCAGGAGTTATTATCGGCAATATCGGTATCTGAATTGGCCGATACCGATATTGCCGAGAATACCGAATATCGGCCGATTATATCGGTAAAACCGATAATCGGTCGATCCCTAGTTTCTGTTCTTGTGTCCTTGAGCCTGACACCAGCTTTGCTATCTGTTATAAACATTCTGCACTTGGAAAAAATAGCATTCTTTCAAGCATCTCCAAAGTGTAGCTAGGTTCCTAGTCTCATACTGTCACGTGTATCCAATAACAAGAAACTAACAGCATTATGAAAAATTATACTTTCTGTTCTGAGACTCCTATGATTGGTTGATATTGCCATTGATGTATACCCCCCTAGACAAACTGTGTTTTATATATAGGATATAAACCTTTGAATGCTTTCTGATAATCCATCTGAAATAGTGTGACTTCTTTGAGTATTCACAGCAGCTGATTACAGTAGAATAAGGAAAGCAAAAACCTGTTAGTGCATAAGTCCATGGCAGCGTTAGGGTTTCCAGACCCTGTGTTGTGATTTCCAGCCTAACAGAATCTCTGAAAGGATTTTACACTGGAGGAAGATTTGATTGTGTCCGTGAGGTTATTCCATAAAATGTGGATAAAACCACTTTATTTTTGTATTGTGGTATGCTAAACAAAGTGCTGGTACTGGATCAGATGTTATAGGAGGTGGGAACAGCCGGGGAGAGCATTCTACTCAGGTAGGGTGTGAGCTTCCCAGAAAAGCTCTTAAGCATGAGGCTGGAAAGATTAAGGGTGCGTCAGGATTTCAGCGAAAGCCAGTTTAGCTCTTTTAACATGTCACAAAAGTGGGTCATATAATTACATTGAAGCACAAAGTGGCTAAATGAGTGATACATTTATGAAGAGGAGTTTGAGGCGCAGGTGCATACACAACATCCCCGTATTCAATGACTGGCATTAGAATTTGTTGTACTATCTGTTTCCTTACCGTTGGGCTTAAGCAGGATGTTTCTGTACAAGGCACCTCATTTTGGATATAGTTTTGATTAGAGTTTTTCAATGTGAAGACCACATGATAGTTTGAGGTCTAGCAACATACCTAGATATTTGAAGGAACGGACTTCAGGCAATGTGCTATTTGTAATTTATATAATTTAGGTACTGTTCCAAAGATCATTGTGACCGTTTTGTCAGTGTTTAGGAAAAATTTTGTTATCTGTGATACAACTAGTCTTAGAGCAGGGCTGTCAAACATGCGGCCCCCCAGATGTTGCTGAACTACAACTCCCATGATTCCCTGGCTATCTGTTTCATTGAAATAATCATGGGAGTTGTAGTTCAGCAACATCTGGGGGGCCGCATGTTTGACAACCGTGTCTTAGAGCATAGCCTCATGCTGTCGTAGATTTGGTCCATTAGTGTACATTACAGTGTCGTCTGCGTACATGTATACCGTCACATCTCGCTACTGTCTTTTGCATCCAAGATCCTTGAAAAAGTTGTGTATGTGAGATTGACAGACTTCCTCGAATCTAACTCTCCACACTAAGCACTCTTTCTGTGAAAACAGGAACTGATCAAAGTATCCAATGATCTACTCGCTGCAAAATCTCATGGTCACTACTCTATCCTAATTCTCCTTAACCTTTCTGCGGCTTTTGACACTGTTGATCATCAACAGCTTCTTCCCATCCTCCACAATATCAGTCTACAAGATATTGCTCTCTCCTGGGGCTCCTCTTGCCTCTCCCAGCGCTCTTTCAGTGTATCTTTCTCTGGCTCCGCTTCTTCTCCCCAACTCCTCTCTGTTGGTGTCCCCCAAAGTTCAGTCCTTGGTCCCCTACTTTTCTCCATCTATACTGCCTCCCTTGGTAAACTCGTTAGCTTCTTTGACTTCCAAAATCATTTCTATACGAAGGACACACAAATCTATCTGTCCTCTCCTGATCTCTCCCCGTCCCTCTTGACAAGTGCCTCTGACTGCCACTCTGCTATTTCTATTTCTAGATGGCTGCCCACTTCCTTAAACTTAACTTGACCAAAACTGAAATTCTGGTCTTTCTTCCCTCAAGTGTTGCTACTCCTGTGTCTCCCTCCCTCCAAGTCAACGGTGCTACCGTCAGTTCCACCACGCGGGCTCACTGCCTAGGTGTTCTCTTTGACTTTGACCTCTCCTTCATACCTCATGTTCAGTCTATCGCCAAATCCTGCCATCTCAAAAACATTGGGCGCATCCGACCCTACTTAATGCCAGATGCGAATACGGTGCTGGTCCATTCCACTGTCCTTTCTCGCCTTGACTACTGTAATCCACTTCTTAGTGGTCTTACGTGCTCCCAACTTGTGCCGTTACAGTCCATAATGAATGCGGCGGCGAGGCTCATCTTCCTGTCCGCCCGCACCTCCTACACCTCACCCTTCTGTCAGTACCTACATTGGCTTCCTGTAAGATATAGGGCTCAATTTAAAATTCTGGTTCTTGCTTTCAAATCTCTACATAATGCTGCTCCCACCTATCTATTCTTACTAATACACAAGTGTGTCCCATCTAGGCCTTTACATTTATATTCTGTCCATACTCCCACCTCTGATGCTCTCCTTCAAGACTTCTCGAGGGCTGCACCGTTCCTGTGGAACTCACTTCCCTCCTCCGTTAGATGCTCACCCAGTCTCCATTCCTTCAAAAAAATCATTAAAAACCCACTTCTTCATAAAAGCGTATCAATTAAACTGTTAATAGCTCCCGACTGATTCCTCTCTTGCAACTGTCATTAGTCTAATACTATCCTTACCTTTTCTGTCACTTTACCCCACTCCCTCTGGCATGTGAGCTCACTGAGCAGGGCCCTCAACCCCTCTGTTCCTGTGTGTCCAACTTGGTCTGGTTGCAACTACAAGTTTGTTCGTCCACCCACTGTTAAGCGCTGCGGAATTTGTTGGCACTTTATAAAACAATAACGTAACAATAATGTATACAGTTGAGGCTTTGCACACGTTAGGCAAATCATTTAAGAATAATGTAATTAGTTGGGGCCTCGAGTATGGAGCCTTGGGGAACACCAGACATGACTGGGAGAGAGAAGGAGTGAGTTGCTGTCAGAAACTGTACGTCAATGTACCCCATCTTTGGCAGGTCCTACACTAACAGCGTAATGTCTGCTCTTTAGTGGATAGGTGTTTAGTGGATAGGTGATTTGCTGTTTAGTGGATAGGAGAGTGCGCTGGATCTTGTGTATTGTATTATTTGGCCCCCAGCAGCACCCCCATTTATGCATGTTAAGGTGAGTGCAGCCAACCCCCTCTTGTTATATATATTTGGGAGTCTAGCCAACACCTTGGTTTTGCACCCCTCCCTGTCACAGGTGCCTCATCCCAGGGCCCTATTCAGCCTTGTACTGCAGAGAGCCCCAGATGGAATTTTTTCCCCCAAGTAGGGTAATCTCATAAGAGCAGACATTAGGCTGTTAGTGTAGGACCTGCCAAAGATGGGGTACATTGACGTTGTGGCAGGCTTATGCAATGTATGATCATATAATGTAACTAACCCCCCATTACTTTTGCCTAGATTAGGTGTTTTTTAAAAAAAAACAAAATCTTTCAACATTGAAGTCTCTGTTTAGTGGATAGGTGAGTGTGCTGGATCTTGTGTATTGTATTATTTGGCCCCCAGCAGCACCCCCATTTATGCTTGTTAAGGTGAGTGCAGCCAACCCCCTCTTGTGTATATATATATATATATATCTCTATCACACACACACACACACACACACATAATGACAGGGGTCCTCAAACTTTTTAAACAGGGGGCCAGTTCACGGTCCCTCAGACACTGTTGGGTGCCGGAAAATAAACAATATGAACAAATCCCTATGCACACTGCACACACACGCATAAGGACATAAATACACACACACACACACACACACTGACATACATACATATATAAACAGACAGACACAGACATATACATACATATTGAAATACATACAGATACATACACACAGACAGACATGCATACATACACATACTGACTTACACACGCAAACATACATACTGACATACATATAAACACATACATACTGACACACATACATAGATACATACTGACAGACACACACACATACATAGATACATACTAACATACATATATACATAGATACATACTGACATACACATACACAAATACAGCAAATTTTGTTTACCTTTTTTTGCAGGTGGAAGGCGGCGTGGCTCCTGCGGCCTGGCTTTCTTCTGCCCGTGCGGAAGGGAGGGAGCTGGGAGGAAGTAACGGCCAGTTCCTCCCATCATTAC